AGAACTACAATGAATCAGAATCACTCAGAATGTCAAAAATGTCAATTTTGGTGTGAACACTTTAATAATAAGGCCGGAGTCAATGGTAACGCAGAAAAAAAGTTGTTCAAGCAGTTGACTAAATATAACCTTATTGTTATGTGAAAGTTAGTACTAAAATACGGCACATAATTTAATCTGCGTGAAAAACCGCCGTTATAGTTCTAACGATATTCGATGCGGGTTTAAGAAAAAAGAAGAACATTTTAGAATAAATACAACTTTTCTCTGCTATCTGTTGCTTTTTTTTTTTTTTTACCAAACTAAAACTTAAGGTTTTCCTTGCATTCAGAATATTGTAAGTTGTAAAATGACTCCTTCAGAGCAGAGGAGCAGCGATTTGGTGAGACAAGCGAGAAAAAATTCAAATCCGCAAATTTTCTTGACACTGCACCATGACCCATGGGCCTTAAATTGGTTAAGGCGTCTCAGGGCGGATGTAGGATAAATACTGACCGATTTCCTAAATGATCGCCGAAGGCGCACGCTTCTAGGGGGAAGGTGGGTGGGGGGTACGAAGCATGCTTCCCCAGGAAATGTTTTGTTTTTTAACTCCCCAGGGTCCTTTCCACTCCTCCCCCGCCCCCCACCCCTTTCCTTTGAATTATGAGTCATTCAGAAAGGATATTGGCCAGTTCCAATCCATTCTCCTCGGATGAAGCGTTGCAAATTGGCGAATTACTATCATTATCTCTTAGAATGCCCGAAAATTGGAAAAAAAATTGTTCCAACCATTTACCAGATTTCAACTTGGAATGTTTTATTCAGTAATATATTTATTCTGAAAAATCTGACTTGCCTTCCCTAAAATTAACTTTGGAAACTGGTGTTAACTTGAAGACAAGCAGACGTAGCAGCGATTCGAATCATTTTCACACGAAACTCAGAAGCATTTATGATTTACTGTCTATAATCAAACAGACAAACCAGGCAAACTCAAGTACTCAAGAAATTAAGTTTTTTTTGCAATTTTGTAAAATGTACTTGGCCTCATTGAAAATAACCAATCATTTTGGACTGGCTCTTAAGAGTAACGGACGCAATTTAATATTTCAAATTGCTCCACTTTAACATCGTAATTCAAAAAAACACCTCTCTAGAACCAACTCGCATTATCAGGCCAGAAAGGGAGCACAGTACTTCTACATTCGAGTATTATGCCAAATGCGTGCACGCATATGCAATTGAAAGCAAACTGTGTCGAGTGTTTTTAGGTTCGGTCTGCCATCAAACAACAACAAGGAAACTAAATGTGATTTAATCCCAACTGTGGTACTACTTTCTTTTTCACCTCGTTTCATCGTTGCAAGAGAATTGTTAGTAATATTTAGTGCCTTATGGAATTACAAAAGAAGTGTTTTAGAGTTCGGCCATTAGGGTCTCTTGAGTAATTAATGAGTAGTGAATCCCGAAAGAGGAACACTTACCATCAGGGTTGTGTGAATTGCTATGCACAGTTCTAACCAACAGAAGAACGACCAACCAATACATACTGGGTTTTGCGCACCGTAAGCTGAGACTCGTTCACCTGAACAGTTCTACAGTACAACCTGTATGTTTTGTGTGCTTAACAAAGCTATAATCCATAAGTTATATATACTGAGCTAGAAGTCTGCATATTGATCGATTTTTGCTTTGGATATTAATAGTGTCAGTATATGCTTTAAAGCTAGAGAAGGAGGGGGCAGGATATGCGTAGTAGGCTTTTTATAGTGCAACTGCAAAGTAAAGTAAACCGCTCTCCTAATGGACCGGTATTCCGGTAAACCTTTTCCTTAGTCAGTGACTGACGTAGTTGCCGGTTGCGCGGTAAATGAGTTTATGATACGGAAGAGAAATGATCTCATCGTCGACAAGGTCCAAATATGGTCGCTTCGTTTGTGTTCTAGATTGTTGCTTGCAAATAGTTGACCTGTATCAAACCCACCCCGAATATCACAAATATCAAATTTGGCACTTTCTGTAACTTGTATGACAAAGATATTAAAATGATCACAAACTCATTATACTTGTGTATTAAGAATCAAAACTAGTGAAGAAGATTTCAAAGGCCTTACAGTGTATGCTGCAGTACTTGTTTTTGATTTTGCAATGTGACATCGATTATAACAAGAAACATTGATTCTTAGATACGTTTTCTCATTTTAATTCAGGCCGCAGTGAAATAGTAATTTCCATGATTGACTTGTTTCATAATTTTGCCACCACGCTACCCTTATATAAATATTGTGTGTACTCGCATTGTTCATTGGCCAGAACACTCAGTCGGGGAAAAGTTTCCTGACTGCGAAAAGCCGGCAGATTAAGAACACAAGTAATACAACACATTAACAATACAATTTATTTCGCATATCTCAATATGTAGTTTTACAGCTTTTTTATATTCTAAATTAAAAAAAAAAAAAAAGAGTTGTTTAATTCAGTAGGCCGCGGCACCGAGAGTTCTCCGATTGTTGTCCGTCTTTATTAAGCGGCTGTCAAGCGCTTGATGCTTAGTCTGGCTTTATTTCAAAGAATATGAAGAAGGAAAATACTAATATGGACCTGTAATGCTGCTCCCTTCGCGGATCCTTCTAGATGTTTCTGCTACAGGCTGTGCTATGTTATGCTAATTTATGACGAACCTCTATTGAGCCAACCTGCATTAACCGGCCACTTTCGGGTACCCTGAGCGGTTGGTCGCTTAATGGAGGTTCAACTGTAACTTATCATGCCATAATTCAATACTCCGCCTTTGTATACTGTTTTTGAGCACCCGTGTACACTGCCTGATGAAGAGTGGCACACTAACCTATCCCATATGATCGACCATCCACTTTCACCTGAGAATGGCGCAGCGCAGCTTCGCACTCAGAAACCTCTCCGAAATCTTTGTTCAAAAGCCCTAGACGTATGGTAATAAATGAAATTTCATTGTCGTGAATGCTTTGTCTTTTTAACATGAATAAATCACTACAGCAAGAAGCTATGAAACGCGTCTGTTAGCCTTCTCACGTCATTTTACACAAAATTACAGGTTACCCTTACCCTTTCACACTTTTACTTGTGAAACCCCACTTACCCTTTTATATACCTGAAGCCTGAAAAACGTACCCTTCTGGGCGGAGACTGCCCGTAGAGACCGTCGTAGGGAGTACCCTCGGGTCTTTGTTTGCGGATTTGCAATATCAGTGTTGAAAGTATTACTGTGAGACATTTTAAAACACAGGCTAACAAAAGCTATAAAGTTCATTGTTGTGAACTACAGCATTATGATACAGTGAATCAAAGTACGAAGGATAATCAGAATATATATAAACTAAGTTTATAGACAAATAATCAAGACGATCAGATTATAAATGTTGGCAATACTTCGGTTTCTTTTAAACCATCATTCAGCTGATCATTAGGCCACTAGGTTAAACATACAAGAGACAGCGTGGCGCGGTTTTAAATGAGGCTCTCGTAAGAAAAATTCACACTGTGTTGGCTTTGAGTCCACAGTTAATTACAGGCTGCCGTATTTGAAATAGTAGTGAAACGTGGGGTATAGTACCAAATTTTGCAAATAATCTGTATAGTACATCCAGTGTTCATCCTTATGATCAGTTACACGCAAGGTAAACCGAATCGTATGTACTTTTGTATCAAAAATATATATATTAGTTTCAGCTTGCACCACATTTTATGACGCAAGTGGCATCTTTTTATCGGAATCAGTTCGTACACGAAAAGGGTGGTACAGTTTAGGACACGAATATAACGAGACCACATGCACGACCTGTCATATTGTCGGCGCCTTCTATCTAGTCCAGCCCAATGAAAACACACTCTGGGTCGGACAGCACCTTGATTCACTGTAGGATGACTGCCGCTGAGCCACCCAGTTGCATCCGTCTTGCAGCGTGATATTGGGACGACTTGGGAAGGCATTTTTGTACCTGCCGCACCAATAAACCTGTACCAGCCCTTTCGCAAGCGGCCATCGTATTTGCGGACAGTGTTCTTTAGAGTATGGTAATCGTTCTTACGGTCAGTCTCATTGAGAATCCTGTAGTTACTACGTGCTAGGAAAAAAAGAAAGAAAAGAAAACATGGTAATAAACTTTTGAAACCTTAAAAGATGAAGGAGAAGGGGATCATAAACATTACAATTAAAACATTTATAGATATCTGACAAAACACTCCGCGTTTACAAATATAATAATCAATAATAATCATGATGATTATGATAATATATAAAAGTTTAATCTCCCTTAAAATCATTCTGTTTGAAAAATTACTTCAGAAAGAACTATTTCGTTACCTCTTTTCTGTAAGTTTGACATCTGATTCGCACTATGATTGATGTAAGGGAATCCAAGACAGTCCTGGATTCTGGATTCCACGCCGTAGATTCCAGATTCCAGGTACTTGATTGCACACTTTTTCAGTGGAGCTTGGATTCTGGATTCCAATCCTTTGTAGGATTCCAGATTCCTTGAGCTGTATTCCGTATTCCAAAGCCCAGGATTCCGGATTCCACAAGCAACTGGATTTCGTATTTCGGAATGGGCAGATTACCTCATGTGGTGGGGAGGGGGTTGGGGCCGTCTGATAAAGCATAATCCCTTGGGTTACTTACCTATTACTTTAAAGATTCCTTTGAACATCTATTCTGTTTATTAAGTTTTTTCCTTACCCTTAATTCCAAACACTGTCGCTGCAAATTTTATCAGTGAAAGCAAAAACACAGAGGAAAGCTAAAAGCTTACCTGATTGAGGTGTCGTTGGTGCTGAAAACAAATATAAATTCAATGTCATTTTTTTACAATTTTCACTAGAATAAGAACTAATATCCATACTGCAAGATGTGAAATTACATGAAGAAAACAGTGCTCATTACATCTGAAAGTACAGTTGTCCGACAACTGAAGGGAAGTCTAAAAAAATAAGAGCTAATCGACGCTTTTCGAAGCTAAGAATAAACCGTAATTGCACTACTATTCTCATATACGAGCCCATACATGACCCGGGTTGCTGACAGCGTGGTGTCAGCAACCCGTATCATGTGTGGGCTCGAGAGAAATTGAAATGTGAGTTAATAAACATGACCTAAATAATTTTAAAACATTCTGATGTTTTCAAGTTTGGAAAAGGTTGTTAGGACAGTGATTATACATACCGTCTTGTACATTGTGTCTTGTACAGTAGATTTGCTTGTCGCGCATCAGTAGTGCTTAAACGCCGTCGCTGACCAATCACGGCCTAATAAAAAATTTTATTTTATTGATTTCAGGGCCATTATTTGAAGTAGGAGCTGATTTTAGAAGAAACTGATATCATGGACTTTTCTGCAGAAATTATTCATAAGTATGACAGTGATATTCAAGAAAGTGCAATCAAGAAGCAGACGAATTAATTTGGTGACAGAATGTAGCTTTAATCGTTTGATGTTGCGTGCTGTTGGGCATACGCATAATGTTCAATAATTACCGCCATAGATATGGGAAATAAGAATGTTTAACTGAATAATTACCGCTATAGGTATGAGAAATAAGAACAAAAGAGATTTCAAACTATAGTGTTGCAGTCTGAATTTCAGCCGTTTCCTTGAGTCGCAAACTTTCCAGATGAACGTCTGAATTAACAGGTCACAAATCCTGTTTGGTGACGTCACTGCCCGAAAGGGATTTTGATTTTGATTGGTTGTTTGTCGAAACATTCGAATAATTGTGTGTAATTATGAGAAATTTAAGCGGGACTGAGGACGCGTGAAGAATTGCGCTTGGGATTTCAGTCTAACAGCTCGCCCGCCTACGTAACATTATTCGGATTCCGGAATCCAAGAAATTTTTTTACTTGTTGAATCCGGAATTGGATAAATTTTTGTTTGTGGAATCTGGAATCCTGGACTTTGGAATCCAGATAAATGCTCAAGGAATACGGAATCCTCGCTTATGATTAGAATACGGATTTAATCCAAGCTCCACCGATAAAGCATCTGTGATCCAATAACTGGAATCTAGATTCAACGTCGTGGAATCCAGAATCCAAGACTGTTTTTTGGACTACATTGCATGAGGCGGACAGCCTTCATCAGTTACATACCCCTGATCGCTTGACCTTGATCGTAACTCGTCCGTTCTTGGAGAAAGCTTTGCTCCCATAGTGCATTATACTTCCGTAATCATATTTAGTTCCAAGGGAATCGATAGTCGATCTGCTGTACTTGCGAAAATTTCTCCTTTTACCTATAAAAAAAGATTACTTCAAAAATGGAAAGAACAGTAAGTTGTGCCTCACGCGGAGACATAAACATATATAAACAAAAAAAAGTTGAGAAAGAAGATTCATCAAGTTTACTGATATTGCATAGGATTTCTCCTTACCTGCAAGTATGTTATTCCACTCTATTGTGACAAAATTATCCCTGTCAGGACGGGACTGTTCATGGAAAAAACCAATCGCGTGCCCTGTAGCAAAATTTTATTCTCATCACTGGCCTGAATACTGTAGTGAAAGCTTATTATAAGTGTCCATTTGGTCCGTTTTAGGGATCTGCCCGTGGCCCATTTATCAGAACTTTTGTAACATGGCATTCTTTTTGGGAAAGAGATTGATGTTTAATGTTCTTTCTTGAGGACTAAGAACTCGTGTGTGTGAGTTTTACATGCGTTTTATTCAGAGCATGGTCATTCAAATTGTTTTTAAATGGATCGATTCCACCTTTTTCTTTTCTAGACAAAGAACCTTTCTCGGCCATAGCAGAAGGGGAAGTTTGACCATTGTTTCAGATTATATATAGAACACCGAAACACCTTAAAATAATTGCGTTTATAGTTCAATTTTATCTCCTATCAGTCGTCTACCAAAGGAACCTTGGCAATGTAGTGATAGTCTTCGTACCAATTTCGTGAGCGACAATTCCCCTTTTCCAACATCTCCGTGCGAGTGTGATATCTTGTCGTCTTCCAATTCTTCCTACATATGAGTAACAGCTATGTTGGAAATAAAGTGAATTGCGAGTTAGTTTATATATAACTATCTAGTCATTGCAATCCTCCTGTAATAGCTAATACTCGCGAACGTCGAGATGTGTTAGCATAATGACGATTGTTAATTTCTCTAAGAGATTTGCTACATTCTATTGCACTGCTTTTAGTGAGTTCTTTTAATGGGGCATTGTTGAGGATAAATTGATGATTGCATGTTCTCAGTCAATCGAGAATTGTAATACATAAGTGCATTAGATGCAGTTCAACTTATTAGGGTAAGAGTGACTGAGGTAGAGACTGTAGGACAGGAACGTTTTAATACCCGGGCGTTTCGTTGTTTTCGAAATGAAAAATTCCATAGCTTTTTGTTATAATTCAGTGAATTTGAAAGCTCGCACCAGAGGGAAAAATGTGAGGGTTATGTAATCATATCAGGGAAGCAAATTAAACGGATGAAAAGAGTTTCTGTAGATACACAAATTACTATTTTAGACCATAGCAAGGAAAGTACGGTGTTTAAAATTATATTATTATTCATTCAAAATATTTCCTCGATTCCTATCGGCTAAAAGCACTCGTTTAATTCGCCATAACCAGTTACTGATGACCAAATTTGGAAGAAATTTGACTTTAACGAGGAAATGACGTCAAAAATGCAGCGTTTTCGAAGGTTAAGGCACGTTAACCGAGAAGACCTGGGGACGAGGTTGAGTTGTTTTGGTTGTGAACTTGAAAAAATGGCGGACATTTCACTCGCTTCAAGAGTAAGAACTAGGCGAAAAAAATAGCTAAAAACATGGCAAGAACCGCAAGAAGACAACTCGAAGGGCGACATCTGCTATTTGGAGAATATTTGCGGAGCTGGACAAACCTAAACGTACACTATCGAAGATGAACTGAACATCGATGGATCGATAGAGGTGAGCATGTTTTAGCCATGTTTTTAAACTACGAATTATTTTGAATGAATAATAAAACAGTTACTGAATTCGGCTTTCGTCTCATATNGAGCTGGACAAACCTAAACGTACACTATCGAAGATGAACTGAACATCGATGGATCGATAGAGGTGAGCATGTTTTAGCCATGTTTTTAAACTACGAATTATTTTGAATGAATAATAAAACAGTTACTGAATTCGGCTTTCGTCTCATATGAAGAATTATGGAGATCTCGGAGGGTGTTATCTGCCTCGGCCTACGACCTCGACGGATAACACCCACTCCTCGATCTCCATAATTCTTCATAAGATACTCCGCCTCATTCATGAACTGTTAATTATAAAATGGCCGAATCCAGCGATCGGGGTTTCCTGCGTTGCATGGTCTCGCATGAAAAACATTTCTGTTTAGCTATATGATGAGTTTTTTTTATTGACCAAGCTTGTTCGGTCACGATGGCGCGCGCATGGCTGTATACTGAACTTGCATGCTTTTCGCGTTGTTCTTGACCTCCAGTCTATAATATTCAGCTTCTTGACCACAAGCTTTTAAATTGGTCAATTTATAACGCACACAGTTTTCAAAAATAGCTTAAAAATACATTCAAAACAGTGTTGGATTTGGTAAGGGTACTGATTCATTGTTCGGATTCTTTAATTGATAAATACTCTGCCCAAGCTCCTTCAGCTCCTTACCCTCTTCCATTTACAAAGTTAACGTAAGCTGTTTCATTTCCTCTTCTTTTAAAGCGGATGCAGGTTTTGTTGGTCCATTCATTCATTCCGGCTCTTATGGCGCTCATGGCACTAGAATTTCTAGCTGTGAACCATGCAGGTAATAGTATAAATCAGTGATTAGTGCTTGCTCTATGACGACAAAAACCAAAGTTATATTTAAGGTTAAAGATTAAAGTCCCACACTTGTATCTATTTCAGTAGACAAATTAATAGTCTGTATTTTAAAATCATGGGAAATCACAGCAGAAGGTGAAAAATCCGAGAAAAAGATCAATCGATTCCCTAGATTCCTCTAGCAGCGAGAAGTCCCTGTTTGTTTTTGTGCTCAGGTCGAAAGTCAGGAACTGTGCAGAATTATCAGGAAGGGGGCTGGAATTCCAAATTGAGTTATATTCTTTTTTATTTGTCACTTAATCATACTTTATTTCATCCTCCCCATTTTTATGTGGAGCGGGTTTCCATAGCAAACTCTTTATTTTAAAGTTGACGAGGCAGAATTCCCGAGGGTAGTTGTTAAGGAAGAGGATGCAACACTGTCTGAGTCATCTCGTTTATCTCTTGCAGATACACAATCACGGTACGCACAGCTATATCAGTATTGCTCTCAGCCGTGTTGGATTCCCACAATCGCAGTTATCAATTCTCATTTTAAACGAAGATTTCAAACAACTGAGTGGATGTGTAAAGGTACAAATCAATATTTGTTTTTGCTAGGGTTTTATGACCCAATGCTTGGTAGCCGATTGGCTGGAATAGGCCATATAGGGGCCAAGGTGAAGAGGAAGAAAGGTTGGGTTGTACTTTAGTTACCAGCTTCAACAGGGGATGGAAAGTTAGTTTAGCCATTGTACAGCGGGGATTCGAGTCAACTTTAATTAGCCGTATTTTTCACATTTCACAACCTCCCGCTTATGATGTAATTTTTGTACATGTGGTGCGGTTTATACATGCAGAGCGAGTTCGCCAAATAGAACTTACAACAGAAAATCAGTTTCAGAAATCAACTACTTGATGGTTTCTTCTTAGTGGCATTTTTGTGTTTTTCGGACCATTTCGTATTTTTAACAGTTTTGTGTTACAAATTACTATGAGGTCAAAGAAGCTGGAATAAACAAACATACGAAGGCTTGAATGAATCTGATAGACCACCACTCCTTTAGGCCAGAGTCGTCCGACTTTGATTGAAGCTCTCTTCCGATCACTGTCAACATCCATTCCATGCTCCGTTCTATCAAGTTGTCGTTGATTAAGAATCATGTCCCCCTCAAACAACCTACTGTCATTAATGCCACGGTTTTCTGTGAAAGCATTAAAAGTAGAATTGGCAGCAGATACTTCACCATATCTCCGACCTACTCGTGTCATAGCCGCCCCTCCTCCCCCCCCTCCCTTCCCTCTCTTTTTCTCTCCTCCGCAGGGTCTCCCACTGGGTATTCCAATAAAATGGAGAAAAACAAAAACAAACAAACAATAGTTAGCGCCCGGCGGACGATTGGAAGAAGGAAACGGCGGGAGATGGGGGGAAGGGAAAGGTCTCACCTCCATAACACATCTTAAACCCAAACCCATATGCCCATTCTAAATGGACCACAAAAATAAGAAGTTCCATAAATTATACTACTACTGAGTGCTTTGTAGCTGCGATGTAATTCATGGCGGGTATTCCAAAAGGCTTTCAATCTTCCCTAGTTGAAAACATTGCCATGTTGTGGTTTCAAAACAAAAACCCTAGCCTGCGTCGCAGACGTATTTTAACCTCGGCTAGTGACGTCTGCAAAGCAGCGCCGATATTTTTGATCTGGGCCATCAACGGACTCAACGAATTACCGGAAGTGGGTCTTGAATTTCCTTTCATGCTGATTGGCAAATCGTCAATGGCCTTTTTGACAGGCTAATCATGGCGAGTGCTCGAATCCTGGTACACAGGTGGAGGCCCAGAACAAGGATTTCGGCGCTATTTCACAGATGGACTTCAGCAGAATTTAGTAAAGTCTGTGGCCCTGCAGGCGTTAAATTTCAAGCTATTTCCCTTACCTTCTCACAATTTCTAATATGTCTTACAATCCGCGTTGTCTTGAAACCAAAACCAAATTAAACTCCTTATAAGCCCACTTTAAATGGACCTCAAGGAAATAGTAGTTTATTTATACAACAGCAAATCAGTGGTAGTGGTTTGCCGGCATTCTTTCGGCTGTATTTTTTTTAGAGGTTAGTTATCTTAGCTTCAGCGATCTTAGGGAAGTGTCAGATTTAGAGGTGAGATTGTTACTTTTTTCGCTTCCATCATGATTATGTACTAACCTTTTTCTGGGTGCATGCGTTAATGTCAGATTAACATTGAGTTAATCTCAGATTAACATTGAGTTAATCTCAAACAAATGATACAATTAATGACATAATGCATATAGTAAACCTTCCTGAAGGAATTTAACCTTTTATTCAAGTTGAATATCTGTTTCTGCATTGAAAAAAAATAAACAATATCTTAATACGTATTTGCTTGCGTCGTGGAACCTAAAGCATTCCAGTCACCCTGAGGAAAATGACTTGTTTATCACTGATAAAATTTTACTCATTACTAATCACTCAAAGTTATCATTTTCAATCATACAATTGTATTACACTGTTTGCCCGAGCTGAAAAAACCGTTCCAAAAAATAATTGTCAAAATCCAATACATTGGCGCTATATTTGTGTCACTGTTGTTGGTTTCCGAACCGGTATTGCTTTTCGTCATTGTTTTAAAATTAGGAATTAATTAACTATTCTTAGGTCTTTCGATATATGGCCCAGTCAGGTTTTCTTTCAATATTCAAACCCAAAGAAGACTGCTATTGCCAAAATTTCCATTTAAATCAGATTAACAATCGTCAGATAATTTGTGCTGGAGGGAATGCAGATTAATTTGATTGAACAAAACTGCCATCAGTTAAACAATGAACCAACAAACAAATACCTGCATGCAATGAGCTAGTTGAGGAGTTTTTACATAATGAATAAAAAAACAAGTATGGATAACTTTTTTGTATTTGATCAAGATTTGAACTGTTGATAAGAGGTATCCCAAAATTTAGAGAACACTGATTTTCACTAAACTGAAAGCAACTCAATGGTTCTCCCCTGAGGTATTTAAGATGATATCGACTTATTTTAATTTAAGTGTAAACTTGCTATACCTACTCTATATAATTAAGGTTGTTGAATTCAGGTGAGCGACACTCAGGGTGGCTGTTTCCAAGCGTTATACGCAGGGGATATGATTGTTTTAGACAGAGTGATCGACTCAGAGGAAATTATTATTTAATCATTTAAAGGACAAACATGAATTTAGCAAAATTTTATAACCACCCTTGCCTGATACCTATATCCTATATCAATGAGATAACAAACAAGAGCGTGAAATTTTGACTGAATTATCACTGTTGAAATAGACGGACAGCCAAAGGTACGTTCAATTTCTTTTTTCAACAATTAAAAGTGAAGAAATAAAAAGTGCATATCAACGACATCCCAATAATTGTAGATTGCAACTCCATTGTTTACAACATAACCCATTAGGGCGAGTCTTCATCAGAGTTTCAAATCAAAGTGAACCCAAAGCTTACCGTCAGGATTTTGGTCAGCGCTGAACACTGTTTTAACCAGTAAAAGAGTGACCAGCCACTTCATTATACTTCCCTTGAAGAAAACCACAGCCAGACCCAACTTTTGCGCTTCACGTATCTCCAATGAAAGTTGTTGGCAAGTGTTAGGTCTAATAATGACACGTTGTATATTTATCGATATTAAAACTTAGACGATACATTCCCACTTCCTTTTAAGTCCAATATTTAAGGCTGTAGCCAATCATTCAGATGACATTGCTCATCAACGCAAGAGAATTTTTAAAAAGGCTTGGTAGTTGAGATAAAAAATGCCTACATGCCGTCAACAAGGCTTATCCTTGTGAACTCTGAAGGATGCCAATGATTATTCGCGTCATTTGAGTTAAAATACAGTTGAACCTGTCCACAACCGCCATCTTAGAGACAGAAGAAAGTGGCAGATGTAGAGAGGTTTAAACAAGAGTCATTGTTTTATTGCTGGAAATTTGTTCCCAACAACGCGCGCACTCATTGACTACTTCGAGGTCACATGACATCTAAAAATGAAACTGTTTCTCGGCAAAATCTCTGAGCGAGCAACATTGCACAATCTATGACGTCAGAGGATAGCAGAGCACTGTTACCCGCGAATGTCGACCGACGACCGCCGTTTACAGCGAGGTTTAATGAACAGTTCCAGCTTCAAATTCTTCAGCTATATAACCTTATCACTTACGACTGGTCCCTCGGGAAACAGTTAATTTTGTTTCCCGAGAATCTCAATGTTTCCCTTGGTTCCCCCTCGTGAAACATTGATACTCTCGGGAAACAAAATTAACTGTTTCCAGAGGGACCAGTCCTTAAGTTTTTAATGTAATAAAAAGTGACCGTTGTGGCGAGGTGGTCATTAATGGTGGTTCAACTGTAGATTATTTAGCTATAAAATGAAAGAAAATGCGAAAATTGTTGAGATCTACCATGGGGTAGTTATTTTAGAAAACAAACCAATTTTTTTAGGCCCTATCCAAAGGTGGGTTCAACAATCACACACTAAACTGCTTGGTCAAAGGAGGAAGGCTTGTTTTGTCTTTGTTTTTGTCGTAATTCTTTTTGAAGTAGATCTTGTCGGCCTAGTTTTCTCAACTCGTGTTGTCATCGATTGCAGTCAAAAACAAATTATATGGTGGCCAGAAACTACGTACTCGAATCCTTCGTTTGCAGGTTATCATCAATACAACTTGCATTTTATTTATTTTAAGCATGCAGTTTTGAAATTAAAATTAATTTGTGGCAGTCATATATGATCAAACGATTTTTTTTTTATTGGCGTCATTTAGTTATTACAAGCAGTACCGAAAAGGAAATTTTAAAAATAGTGCCTCAATTAAGATTGATGTAGGCCTCCTAAAACGTCTTCTCCTGTAACCCTCTTAACCTCGAGAACGTCCTCCTGGTCGTCGACCTGAAAAAAGGGCGAAATAGAATTGATTTTCACTTTCGCGGCCAGCAGCTATGTAAATTTATGGAACAAAAGAAGGTTTATACTATACATAAGACTGAAAAGGTGCCGTAACTAGCTCCCACTAGTTTTGGACATTTACAGGTTTACATGTTTATCAGAAAGCTAAGGAGCCCAGTTAAGCAGCTTAACCTCTAGGGCGTCGTCTTGGTCGTCCTAAAAATTTGGAAATTTCAGTGGCTCGAAAATTATCAGTAGATACTGATTTAACCTTTTTATCGTGCTTGCCTTAAGGTCATGCTCATCTTTGGAAAGAAATGAAAGCAGCTTTGTAGAGAGGCTTTAATCTCCAGGCTTCTTATGAGTTTTCGCAATAACTCGACTGAAAATAAATACAAGCCTAAGCTTTATCAACCGCTTAGTTTTTTTTTATTATTATTATTATTTAATTCCGAGGATCATATTCTCTTCTATACTAAGAAGTTAATTTAAGCATTTGACCAATGAAAAGATTTGGTTATTTTGTTATTTAGAAAAGAAGTCACCCATTCTAAATTCAGTGGAAAATATAAAGCAGCGTACCTCCACGGCGCCCTCTTCCTTGTCGTCCTGAAAAAAAAATTGAAAATTAATGTATCATGATTTTTTGCAAATTTGACAGCAACGGAAATAACAGTAGCTTGAAAATTATCAAGTAGATATTTTAGCGTTGACCATAAGCGAAGGGATGTTTACGAAACAGTCGCTATTTTTTATATTTATCTGTTGGAAAGATGAAGCAGCCTACCTCCACGACGTCCTCTTCTTGGTCGCCCTGAAAAAAAAAAAAAGAGAAATATAACATGTTTTCTTCTGCAGATTTCACAACAAGTTGATGATAAGAAATCTTTACTGGAACATTTACATTCCGGAGTTCCCCAAGGGTCCATTTTAGGCCCGTTATTGTTTAACAAACATACCGCCGATCTACTTGATAAGCTCAGTGACTCCATTTCATGTTATCTGAGAGGAACACGCCGATGATACTACACTTTACAAATAATGCAATGTCAAAGATCTCGCACAAAGTGTTGCTGACTTTAATAGCTCTCCCAGCCATATGGCTCCTTGGTCTTTAAAGCCCAATCTCGCCCTAAATCCACGCAAAGCAGTGACTGACCTTCATATTTAAACTTACATTGAAGAGTCTCTATATGTAGAGGTTTGCGCTCTTCGGATTCTATAAGATTACAAGTTCCCTCCGTTTTTAATAACTTTCCTGATAATCTTAAAAAGTGTGACGGTTTTTATCTATTTTCTTCTTCGCGCATATTTAAATTCTTAAAGAACCGGGAAAAGGCCAACTTATCTTAATTCTATTTTAAGTTTTATTGTACATACTTTCTCTTTTAATCGTTATTTATTCTTGACTATTTTTTAGTATATTTTTTTATTATACATATATTGGATACAAATTTTTATTTTTTTAGTATAGGAACAGATGAAGAGCCACAATTAATGTGGAAACCCTGTTAATAAACCGATAAACCTCCACGGCGTCATCTTCTTGGTCGTCATCAAAATATATTAATTTTCAGAACTATAACATGGTTTTTTGCCAGCAAAAACAGCAGAGAAAAATTAACAGCAAGAAAAATTACAGTAGCTTGAAAATTATCAAGTGGATATTTCAGCGTTTAACCAAGAAAATGAAGAAATTAAGAGCCACTTAATTATTATCCGTTGAAAATAAAATGCAGCTTACCTCCACGACGTCCTCTTCTTGGTCGTCCTTAAAAAATATGCAGAAATTTCACGTGTTTGAAAATTAGCTTGAAAATTATCAAGTAGATAATTCTGCGTTTGACCAAAGAAGACGGAACGAGTTGCTATTCTAAGATAAAAAAACTTAACTACCTCCTCCACGGCGTCCTCTTGGTCGCCCTAAAAAAATATGTAAAAAAATAACATGATTTTTTTGCAAATTCTACAGCAGAAGTTACAGTAGCTTGAAAATTATGAAGTAGCTATTTACGCGTTTGAGCAAGATATGGAAAAAGTCGTCATGCTTATCTGTCTAAAATAAATAAAGTAGCTTTAACCTCCACGGCGTCCTTTTCGTGGTCGTCCTGAAAAAAAAGTTCAGAAATAATTAACATATTGTTCACAAATTAGTTCACAGAAAGCAGTTACGCGGTAGCTCGAAAATTATTAGTAAGTATTAAAGGTATTTCTGCGTTTGGCCAAGCAGAAAGTCCTTTTAAGAATAACTGGTTTTTATGCTTATCTAGATCTGTTGAAAAGATGAAGCAGCTTACCGCCACGGCGTCCTCCTCTAGGTCGTCCTGAAAAAAAAAAATTTAGATATAACATGATTTTTGCAACTTTCATAAAAACAGAAGTTAAAGTTAGCCTCAAAATTGTCAAGTAGATAGGCGATATTTTAGCGTTTGACGAAACAGAGGGTCACTTTAATTTAGGAAAGAGTCGTAAAGCTTATCTGTCAAAAACTAAGATAAAGCAGCTTACCTCTTCCACGACGCCCTACACTTGGTCTTCCTTAAAAAAAATGATAGAAATATAACATGGCTTTTTTTTTTGGCAAATTTCACAACAACAGAAATTAAAGTAGCTTGAGATTTATTATTAAGTGGATATTTCAGCGTTTGACCATGCAAGGAAATACAGTAGTTGCAAATTTCACAACAACAGAAATTAAAGTAGCTTGAGATTTAAGTGGATATTTCAGCGTTTGACCATGCAAGGAAATACAATAGTTAGTTGTAGGAACGAGTCGCTCTATCTCAATGGCGGGGTTATCTGTGAAGAAAGATAAAGCAGCTTACCTCCTCCGCGGCGTCCTCTTCTTGGTCGTCCTGAAAAAATTGTAGAAATATGATATGACTATTTTGCAAACTTCTAGAATTTCACAGCAACAGAACTTAGAATAGCTTGAGAGTTATTAGGTACAAGAAATTTCAGCGTTTAACCAAGGAAAGGGTCATTTTAGGGAAAAGTCATTATGCCTATTTTTTGAAAATAGAACGCAGCCAACCTCCTCCACGGCGTCCCCCTCTTGGTCGTCCTGAAAAAAATACATATATAGAAATTTAACATGATTTTTTGCAAATTTCACAGCGACAGAAATTACAGTTGTAGCTTAAAAATTATTAAGTATCAGAAATTTCAGGGTTTCACAAAGGAAAGGGTCATTTTAGTAAAGAGTCACCATGCTCATTTGTTGAGAAAAGAACTCAGCTTACCTCCTCCACGACGTCCTCCTGGTCGTCCTGAAAAAAAAAAATGAAGAAGACATTTTACATCATGATATTTTCCAAATTACAGTAGCTTGAAAATTATCCAAGTAATAATTTCAGCGTTTGACCAAGTGAAGGGACATTTTTAGGAAAGAGTTGGCATGTTTATGTTTTGAAAAGTTTCAAGCAAAGGCTCATAAAGAAGTTCTAATTTCCTCTACGTCCCCTTTGTTGTCCTAAAAAAAAGGATATACTGAAACTATTTTGTTACCTCCTCCACGACGTCCTCTTGGACGTCCTGAAAAAAAAAATATGTAGAAACATTAACATGACTACTGTTTTGCAAATTTCCAGAAGTTACAGTAGCTTGAAAATTTCAGCGTTTGACTATGGAAAGGGTCATTTTTAATTACAAAACAGTCACGCCATGCTTATTTGTTGAAAAGAGAACGCAGCCTACCTCCTCCACGACGTCCTCTTGGTGGACCTGAAAGC